GTAATCTTTTGAAACTACTAGAGTTTTTAAAAAACAGGTTATCGTGACTATCAGATCTTGTCAGTTAGTCCTTGTGATAAGACAGTTACGAGCTGTTTGCCCTCTACATTTAGGACCGCGTTATAGGATTGCTTAGACTCGAAACTGGTTGCAAACACGTTCAGTTCCGCGCTGGAGGGAGCGGCCGGTGGTCTGACGCGATGCCTGACAGCAGCAAAACCAGAAGTAAAATTCCAGGCATTTACTTAGTTTACAACACAGTGACTTTAAGTAGCGTGAATATGATTTCTACTCTTAAGATATTCGGAGTGGACCTATCGTCGACCTTCGAATAAAAGACCTTTAGTCAGTGCATCTGTGCTAAATCCTTTTCTTTACAAACATATGTCAGAACATCATATAAAATAACTTTGTGTATCGCTTTAAGTATTTCAAGTAACGACCCCTGCACGCTGCTGCTGATCCAAAACTCATTCGTTCAAAGCCACCGTGTGAACATTGTACATACGAAAGCTAACTCTGTCATAATAGAAATAACATTTAATGAAAAATACAATTTTACAATGGTTTTTATGATGTTAGTTAGCTTCAGGCGTACACCTTCGTTTGTCACTTGAGTCGTCGGGCACATTCTAGGGTACTTTAATTCTTATACTTTTCATGCTACAAAATATATTCTTCCTTCTGATATCTGAAACTTATCACTCTTCGACTGTTCACAGGCATGGGATCGAAAAAATCTTACAAATCAGATAGTGCGGAAACGTTGTTGTGTGGAAAGAACCTTCTCGTTACCGATTACGTGAAACATAACTGCCGCCCGGCAATCTAACGTCGTCACTTATCTGTTAGATTACATTTTATATTGTTATTGTTGGTATTACACTGTGGTGTTATTTAGGTATCTCAGTCAAATATAGACGGCTCACTGATGAATGAATATGTTTATAAAATGTTTTCCACATTTTCGTTTGTCCTGATTGTAACATCGGTTACGAAAACCTGTCGTTTTTTCTCCACACCCCCCACTGCAATGATAACTGGCAAATACTTCTGCTACAATTTCTTCTGTTTTAGATTTTTCGTTTAATACATCTCCATTACTAAGTGGTGAGTGAATCATGTGTCCGGCATATTGTATCTATATATTGTTTATATATATATAAGAACATATAAGAACGATTAGATCATAAACTCCCATAGGACGTGTCCTGTGAAATATTATAAAAATGAATACGAACCTTCCTCTCGTGCTATGACTATTGTCACTTTCGCGCTGAATGCCAATAGGAACAGGCCTTCGATTGCAGGCGCAAAAGCCTTTTGATGATCTATTGTAAACTCATTTGAATGATCGGTACTGAAGCGAGAGCGTGTGATTTCAATAGATTAACAGAAGAGAATAACTATTTTGTCTATTCGAAAGATTCTGTTGAATCATATCGTAGGAGTTGTTGGACGCTACCTTAGATATATCACACACATAGATAACAAAAGATGCCATTCTACCTCAGATCGAAACACTGCTCTTGTACAGTAATTAAGCAGCTAATATTTGGTCAGGGTAAAAGCCCCACTTGCCCAAGTGCCCCCAAAGCACCACTACGTTTCTACTAGCGATCTCTGCTCGATCGCTGACCTTTACCGATCACTTCGCGGATTGCAAGAGCGTTACCGGACTTTCGTATCAGCCAAAGCTAACTCGCGTCGAAGGTCGGACAATGTTTGCTACTGCTATTTTTTTTTTTTCATTACATTTTTCTATTTGAGTATTTGTTCTTCGCTTTTTATAGACCCTATAAACAAACCTCATTTTCAACGACCTGTGCTCTTGTTGTTTGCATTTCTAAAGCATTCCAGCAAAACCTAAACGTGCGACTATCCTTCGCATACTCATATCGTCTTTATCTCCTGAAATATCAGTCCATATGTAAGGATTATAAACAGTTCGACTGCTTCTGCGGCAGTGGCAGCGGCAGCAACCGTTGCCACAAGGGTGGCAAAGTAGCCATCGATGCATCTACCATAGGATTATTACGCTACGTTATTTGTTGTTGTTGTTGTTGTTGTGGAAAGTGTGGGAGACGCGCAAAAAGATCGTTTGCGTATCTACGAAAAGCCTTAGTAACTTTGGAATCTTTTCTAATGATAGACGCTATTGCGGATTGTTTGAGATATGCGCGCGCAATTTTTACCGCATTCAGCGATGAAGGCGAAGCTTCTTTGCAGTGTGGCACGATTGGCGCGCGTGGCAGCATGCAGCCGTTAGTCGCCAGTCGATTCGGTCTGCCTACGGTGGAACCGTTTATCGGTCTTAGCGCGTTTATTTAAGCGACGGTTGAATCGTCACGAGAACAGTGGCAATGGCAGGGCAGTTCGTGCAGTAGTCGGACTCGCCGGCCATAGCCGCGCCATCGCTGGCTAGACATAGAGGACCGGCTTCTGACGTTTGCTTGCGCTGCTTCAACTACTGTTGGGTAGATTGTTCAGCTGAACGGCCAAAGTTGGTGGCACGAATGGCTTGCGAAGTAGGCAAGACCTTTACAAGTAGACGTCAAAGACTTATTAGCAAACAGCAACGACTCCATTGGCGAAAAGGGCTGGATGCCTACCGCCGATCGAGTGCTTCTATGCGCGCTAAACGTAACATTTTCGCTTAGAGAGTCTCACCAGCTGTCGATAGCTCTGCTATTTACCCAGCAGCATCAACGTTTGTTACAACAGCAAAATCATTCCTGGCAAAGCAATGAGAGCTCATGGAGGCATAGATAAGTTAAAAACGCACGTAATACGTTGATGATTCTCAGTTGGCCATCGAGGCAACAAGACTGCAAGCAGCGTGCGGCCAACGATGGGTCTTTGAGCAGCCATGGGTGAAAAACTACACGATTTAAACGAAGAAGAAGAAGAAGAAGAAAAAAAAAGCAGTGGAGAATCCGCCAGTTCTCCCCTCTGCTCATCCGGGTTATCCAGCCGTATCCTAAACTCTGCCGCCTTCAGGTCCAGGCTAGCAATAACGGTAACAGCAGTAACTATGGGCGTCCAGCAAGTCTTCTATTCGTTTGGCCATATGACGCCTTGCACATATTCTATGTATTAGTACTTTTTGATTTGACATCTCTAGAATCCCTAATCGCTCTAGCAATGACAACAGCAGATGCGGTAGTGGTAGCAGCAAGCAGAACTTATAAAGTTCCAAGTTATGTGAATGCGCGCGCGCTCGAACACTGATGTTTTCTTACAGTTATACGTGTAGAAGTTCTGAAGCACAGCTTAATGGCAGTAATATATATGGAGATGTAGAACGGACGATCTTCAATTGTGAGCGGCGACGTCGGCTTTCCAGACGATCCTTAGCATTATGCTTCAGCAACAGCCCCTGGGGGGTGCAAATCGATCTTTGTAATCAATTCGATAAGTGGAACGTTAAAAGTAAGCTTTTGCTGGGTATATAAGATGCAGCCGATTTACTTGTACAACATGTGCGGGTGTGTGTACGTGTCCGTGCATGCGCGTCAAGTATCTTCAACAAAAAAAAAACGACTTCGAATCAGGAACATCCAGGACAGATCATGTCATTTCGGCGAAACACGCGTAAATGAGCGAACGATAGAGCAAGGGCTTGAGGCTGCATTTCTGTTTTATCAAATGTTATATGAGACTATCGTGATCTCTAGCTCGATCTTGGAGACTGCGTTCGATTTAGACTATACATATTGGATTAGTTATATCTATATTATATATAGTTAGATTCTGCTTAACCTTTATTATATAAATACACGGCTGTGATCGTTCGTTCTTTTTAGAATGTAATTAATTAAGAAATTGACATTCAAATAAAGAAAATGTATCTTAAAATGCCATTGGAACTAGATCAACCTGCGCGATCTACAACTAATCGGATACAAAATAAATGGGTGGAATTATTTAGGATGTTTACGGACAACGTTTCGTAAGGTAAAAAACATCAACGACTTTCTTCCAGAAAAACACTGGACACGAAGTATCTCAAGGATCTGAAGGACAGTTGTGAGTTTGGCAACAATAAATCAAATGTTGATCGCATGTTCATATATTAGAAACGAAACAGTTTCACTTCGACAATGCCACATAACATAAATGAAGGTAATCCGGATTGAAGAGAACTATTTTGTGAAAAATCCAGTTTTCAGGAAAAATTGTTTGAAATGATAGAGACATATTCAAAATTCAATGTCACAATTAATCAGCATGATTGAACTTACTGGGCAACTATAAGTTCATCTGCTACGCAGGAATATTGTGTAAACTTGTGGTCACTGTGAAGTGGAGCAAGATTTTAAGTATGGATCGTTATTTTTTGACTAAAGCCAATAAGTTGAATTGAATGCAAAAATCTGTCCTATTATATATTGGAGAGAATTTCGATAAGGGTGAGAGATCCTATTATTAACTAGATGGTAGTATTTGCATGTTATGTGAAAGTATATCTTGATGAGAATTTTTCAAACAGATGTTTGGATGAAGAGGTCCCGTAAAACATCCTGCTCGTTTGACGTTAATAGGCTTATTATTATTTTATAGATATTTTAACAATAATCTATGTCAGAAAGCCATCGACACTAGACAATTTAGAAGCCACCATTAAGCAAAGGTGCACCACAACACCAAGGGAAATATTTGTTAAGGTTTGTCAATTAGTAGGCTGGCGCTATCAGCAGCGTATTGATTTTTATCGTCTGGAGCGATAGGAGGAGAAGTTGTGCATTTTTCATAGATTTTTCTTTTCGGATTCGAATGTTAACTTATATCAATGAAAACTGATGTTACAATCGTTTAATTCACTGTGTACACACTTTTTTGGAAACTTCCGGATAAGATTATCCATATATTAGACCAGTTGTAAGAGTAGCTTATCGCGTAATCGTATAAGAGGTGATCGAATCTAGACAGAGTCATCTTCAGCCCGAAAGTAATGGTCACGTTTAGTGCTAACAGTTGTGTATACGATCTTATTACAGGTGAGTGTTGCGTGTATTTGCCTGCCCCGCCTGATGTTGCAAGTTCAAGGTACTTAGCCCGGATCAACGAAACAAAAAAAAAAACACAGAACAAACGCGTGTCCATTGTAAACAGATTAACAGATACCCCGCGTAACAAAAACCAACGTAGTAATTTTTCTAGTAGAAGGGGCACATTTTCAAGGATCAGTTCATAAGTGGAGCATGCCAAACACTCGAAGTCTTCGCGGCAAATAAATACTGTGATTCCATTTGTGCATATCATTGACGCTCTGTTATAGCCACAACGATAGCTTGTGAACCATAACGAGAATCTAAGATTACGCTTTTCGAAAACGCTTGGGAAGAACTTGGTAGTGTCGTGACACAATATTTGACTTTTTGACTTATTGATAATTTAATGATGAAAAGATCAGTCTAGATGTCATATTTTTTCCAAAAATAAGCCTACTCACACGGTCTGACTAAAAAGCTGAGAGCGTTCGCGCTAGCATATGCATGTTCCAAAAATGACGAACTCAAACATAAAATCTATGATCAGGGGCAAAAAGTCAGCAGTGTAAACTATTATTGCCTGAAGGTTATCGCAGACAAGAAAGTTCACTTTTACTGCTTGTCATTGTCAACCGTCGCTCTTCTTTTGGATTCCGCCCTCGGTACGAACATACATATATATACTCTATCCCCAGCGGTAGGCTAGGTGCTCGTCCCTGTTCATTTAAACTTTTTCCATGACAGCGCGGTGAGTAACGTGTTTGCCGCGTGCTAAACCAAGGAAGATTTGGAGGCCTAGGTTCGGATACGCGCGCAAAGAAACGTAGACAGATTTCATTCTGTGCTGGAGGCCAGCCTTCTGAAAAAATGTGTAACAACTTTAGTAATTGATATAAAACGTATCGATCTGACCAGCACCTTAAAACGTGAGGCCTAAACATGATCATATCGAATACCTTTTATTTGTCATATTGCTCACTCTCTGCCTGAACCTATCTCTCCGTTATGGACAGCACTTGATTTAGCTGAATATGTAATGCTCAACTAAGAATAAGCCTATATGGGACGGAAGTCTAGAACCCACATGGTGCACGTAATCTAATAAAAACTACCCGTCGCTGACTGTCGAGTCAGCACAGACGACAACATCCCCAACAAGAACTACTATAACAACAAGCCGTATGTTTTTCTGCTAGCCTTTCCAGTAGAGCGTAAGGCCACCGGGTGCCCTATAATAGACCCCCGAAAAGGGACATCGCAATCTTTGTATCTTACTCCTGTTTCGTTGGCATACACATCGACTGCTGCCGCACGGCAACTTCTACCTCCACAGTTGTTATTGAAGCACAAGCAACAACGTGACTCTCTGCGACATTGAGCAAGTCGATCTGTCCCCGTTGCCATAGTGGAGCTGAATGCTCGACATCGAATAGCAGCGTTCGAATCATAGCTCTGGGACATTTATATGTCGTTTTGTTGCTTTAGTTCACGCTGCAGATGTTGCCATTGCTTTCTTTAGCTTGTCTGCCAGCAAACGGGCCAGTCAGGCCGCTTGAGGCCGCTGTTGCGGATGATGATGCTGCTGTCGTCGTAGATTTAGAGCCGTCGTTTATTGATCTTTGATTTTCCTTTTGAACCATCCATGGCTGTCTGCGTAGCTTCCATTGGGATCGTATATACCTTCATCTACGTCGTTGTTATCGTCATTGTTGTAGTCGTCGTGACCGCAGTAGTTTTTCTTGTTTTTTCCCTTTATCGGTAGTTATCACCGTCCGCTGCCATAATACCTGCTGCAATTCGTCGCTTACGTCTCGATTCGACCGTTTTTATTAATCTCTTGATTAAAGTGAGGCTAAAACCCAGTCGCTAGCAACTGGCCGCGGCGGCCCCATTGAATCACAGTTTGGTCTCAAATCTAAGCCATCAAACTTTCACGGTATCGACAACAGCCGCAGCGCGAGCGCTTGGGTCTCCCGGTCGCGGACGCGGATGAATGCGATGAAGAAGATCAGTGGCACTTTGCAACCCTAATCGCAATAACCGCGGTCCCGTTAGTCGCTGGCTACGACGATGTGTCGATCTGGCATTCGTGTGACGCCCGTGTGACTCTAATGTGTGATGGTGGTGTCGGAAGGGCTCCGTATCCCCATGACCCTCGTCCTGACGGCAGCGGCATTAGACGTTGGTCCCTTACGCTAATGCGTCGCCGCTTTGCCATCCATTGTCGCTGCTCGAAATTTCGACCTAGCCATTGATTACTGGCATTGCTGTTGCAATTGAAGCCCTTGTTGTAACTGTTGTTCATAAAAATCCCAGGACATCTCTTTGCGTTCAGCTGCTTCGGCAGCTCCTTGTTTTCGGCGATGATATGCGCATGTATGTCCGTGTTTGTGTCAGTATATAAGTGTGGGGGGCCTGCGTAGGTCTTTTTTCGGCGGTGTCGACTGTAATGGAAAGCAGTTCCGGATCCTCGGGGTGTGGAGGAAAGTTAATCGGATTCACGAGCAGCACAATTTAAAGGCATGTGTAAGGCTTTCGATTGATACGTGCCTGGTCATGTCGTGTTTTTGGGACACTTTGGTCAAATACAGCATATAAAAGAATAAGAAAAATTAATAGAAGCTCGAAGAATAGATCTGAGCGATTTGAGCGGGAGTAAGGCGATCGCATTATTGAGCAGTGCCGTTAGAAGCTGTTGACTCATTATATTATAGATGATTAAATGAGTTTTAGTCTACAGATTCACGTCATGGATATACTGAAAAGATAGGTATAAATTAGCTATTTTTTGTTGTGTTGCTCAGCGGTGGCTTATTATGAACTAAATCGAAAACAAGGCTTCACTAGTATTACTCTTGGTAAAATTATTCGGCGGCAAGTTTCAGAATTGATAAGTAGAAATTATCCTTTGTTTAATAACTTCATAAATAAATAGCTGAATTTTCTAATTAGCGATTTGAGCTTGCTACTGTATTGAAGTCTGTCAGTGTGCTAGCGTTTATATCAAGTATAGACTTCTAAAGGAAAAAGTTTATTTCGATATTTTTTGACGACATACGCAGCGAGACAGATAATATCAAATGTCTCCAATGGTTTCCGCAAGACCAAAATACGAGATGGCCTTTTCTATCTGTTAGAATACAATTGTATTTTCTGACATTTGAACATCGAGGCAGTAGTTTTAATGCAAATAGAATAGTTTATAGAGATGACTGGTCTGCGCTACAATAATTATGGCTATAATTGATTGTACATATGACCGTTAAAAAGAACTTAAATTGGAACATTATGCGAGCAACAAACGTTTCCATGGAGGTTTTTACAACGAAAAAGACCGCAAATGGCGGCATTCACTCACTACAAACCTTCACTTACAACGCTGAGAAGTTTCAGTTACTTTCAATTGCCTACCCATAAAAGTGTTCGCATTAAATACCAGACCTGATAACTCTGTCTGTTCGTTAGCGCCCGATCGATAAAACTCAAATTATTGATTAGTGAGGACCGAACAAATTCACGTAAATGTGTCTCAACACGAAAACGCAGTAGTGTTTTTTGTTGATGTAAAAGTTTCCAATCTGCGCCGATCACCCGCTCGGTCTTCGGATAACGTTCTTAAGAAAAATATTCGAAAAAAGTATGAACACACCTGTCCAAGTGTAATGACTATGACGTGCAAAGGCTAACACTAACACGCTTATCTTACCGTCTACGCAAGAATCTGATCGACTTGGGCGATCTTGAAATGGCAATATCTCATAAAGTAGAACAAAGCTGTTTCGTAAAAAAGCGACGGCCGGAAACCAGTTTTGGCTCTGAGTAACACAATCATGCAGTCGATAAATGACGAGTGATTTTCTCTATTAAGTAATACGAAACAATCTTTTCGTTCATTATTATAGGATGCGTACAATATCCTTCGAGATCGCATCACTATGATAAAAATGACTGTGTTGCGTTTAGCATGCCCAGGACCAAACGTGTCTGGGAAATTTAACGTGGGAAACTGACACTAACTCGATTTGTGTTCAATAAATAAAGTGAATACATTTCTGCAGGTATCGAAAACGAGTAATTGCTTTACTAGTTATTAGTTAGCCTGTAAGCATTTTCACCCGAAGCACAATGTATATTGCAAAAAAAAAAGAAGAAAAAAAAAACTTAAGACCATTAAATACTTGCTTTAATGATACAAACCAAATAAGCACCGATTATCGACGAATGAGTGGAATCTTCTGCAAAATTCAAGTAGCTACGTAAAGTCTAAGTTCAACTTTTGGCTGGCTCAGATACTATAAATGAAATTGTTCCGAATGGATAACGTCTATAATTCGTTGCTTTTAATTCGTATATGTCTGTGGTGCGTTCTTGTTTTTAGAAAGTCACGCTTAGATTTTGCACCGAATTGTTGAGTTGATGCATAAATAGTAGAAATTTCTGTTTATTAATTGCCTTCTCAATTTTTTCGTATGCTGATGCCCAAGTGCTATCTATCTAACTTTCACTATCTACCTTTTACTGCCTTAGTAAGCATCACAACATCAGATCACGTTCAGTTAAACAAATTAATGAAATTTTCGCTTGCTAATCGTTTCGCCACCTTGCTGTGCTTGTTATTGCTTTCGACTGTTTGATTTTTGCGCGCGCGCGCATGTACTGCTACATGTTTCGCGCAACGACCCTTAGCGCCACGCGGGATTTTCGCGCTCCAGCGACGCTCCGTATCCAAAAAGAAGGAGCTGAGCAACCCCGACAAAAAATGACGACTAAAAGGGTACCTGTGATTCGACTGTGGCACCAACCAATAATGGCTAACTAAAGAAAACGAACGGACAAAATTCAGCGAGCGTTAAAAACGACATCAGGAACACCTACAAGAGGTTTAGCAGGGCAGTAGAATCTGTGTTACAGCAGAAACTGTAACGTTAAAAATGGTAGCTACAAGACACTAGCAATAACAAAGCACAGGCTTGTGCGAAAACATGCAGGCTAACACTGGCGGAGTGCTGAAGTAGTAGTAGTAGTAAGAACGGTGGTGATGGTGAAGTTAAAACA